TTTTAATGCGTACCAAACAGGGGCTTAAATACTTTTGGTGCTTAATATCCTAATAAAAGAAAATGGAAAGTTATATAATTGATGAAAAGTTGCCTCTCTTAAACCTAAAAGCTTAAAAAGAAACTAAATCAGAATATAGGAAAATAGGAAATCACTTAAAACTAAATCGCAATCTCTCTTTCTAAAATAAATGTGTAATCATTGGTAAGTCTTGAATTTGGTATCTATTAAAATCTTCATCAAAAGCATATGGTAGCAAGTTTCTGGTGAGCTGGAGATTAACCTATATCAAGGGATGATGCTTGTGGAGTATACAAGTAACTCATTTTCAACATTGACAACGTTCTTGATTTTTGTATGTGGTAATTTTTTTCATAATGCCAATGCACCCACCACATGCCTTCAACTCTTTCAAATTTAAATATGATATGAATATATGGATGTATATAAAGTTCTAAAACACTGCGTGATTCTTGATGTACACTGTTTTAATAGTAGAATCAGTTCTTTTATAAAATTATTTCGCGTTCTTTTTCAGAATGCTTTCAAACAGGGAATCCGCAAGACGCTCGAGAAGAAGAAAGCAGGCCCATTTGACTGAGCTCGAGACGCAGGTATATTTATCTAATCTCATCATCTCATCTACCATTGTATTTAGATGATTTGTTTAGTGAGATATTGCTCATGGTTCTTCTAGGTTTCCCAATTAAGAGTTGAAAACTCTTCTTTGATGAAGAAACTCTCTGATATAAGCCAAAAGTACAATGAAGCAGCTGTAGACAATAGAGTTCTGAAAGCTGATGTTGAGACATTGAGAGCTAAGGTAAGGTTGACACTTAACAATTTGTTTAGTGGTCTTGTCAGTTCTGATTTAGAAAAGTTGCATCATATTCTACACTCTCACTTATTACCCTGTTTGATTTTGCTAGAACTAGTTTTTTAGTAGATTTTGATAGAACTCGATGAAATATGTTGTTAAAAAGTTGTGGGTCCCATGAATTGTATGATTAAAATTAATTGTTGATTTAGACTTAAATTTTTATCAACTTTTTTAGCTAAATAAACAGGGGCTAAGAAAAGTATTGGATTCAGGTTACTTTGACCTTTATAGAAGTATTCATTGGATGTTGATTTTTCGGAAAATAACAGGTAAAAATGGCCGAAGAGTCGGTTAAAAGAGTAACTGGTTTAGGCCCAGCGTTCCAATCTATGTCCGAGATATCCACAATGGGCATGCCATCTTTTGCCGGTAGTCCATCTGATACATCAGCAGATGCTGCTGTACCAGTACAAGTGCAAGATGACACAAAACAGTGCTATCATCAAAGTTCTACATCGACTGGTGATCCCAGGTTCCGAAATGGTTTAGTAGATATTCCTCCAGCGGATAATGCACGACTGAATGATGCAGCAGGCACGGGGAACAAGATGGGAAGAACAGTTTCCATGCAGAGAATTTCTAGCTTGGAACATCTGCAGAAGCGCATTCGTGGAGGAACGGGCTCTTGTGGAGAGCAGTAGAGTATATATCATTCTTCAACTTATTATGTGCATTTGCTGGATAAAACAGCTTATTTAACAATTCTAACTTCTTAAATGCTTATTTTATTTTTTCATTTAAAACAAAAATGGGAATTGTGTCATCATATGCCAAATGAAGTATGGAGGTGCTCACCATTAATTTGCAAGTCCACTCTTATTTCTTTATCTATTTTGTTACTTGCCCTTTTATTTTTATAATTACTAAATAGCCCTAAATGAAAGTCCACTAACTTATTTTATTTAGTGTGGGAGAGATCATTAGAAAAGTGTTTTTTGGAAAATGTGTGATTAAAAAGTAAAGAAATGTTAAGGGGAAACATAAAAAATATTTTTTCTTTATTTTGGAGAATTTGTGATTGAAAATGAGATTATAGAAAAGTGATTTTAAAGGATCACTTCCACACAAGCATTTAATTATTCTTTATCTTAATGGAGTATCTTACGCCTTTATTTCTTGTTAAACTCCGTAGGAAAAACAAGTCACCATTAACCTTAACAATGAGTTATATCATAAGTGCACATTACTATCTCAAATTCAAAAATAACTTCTTAATTTCACAAATAACTTTTTGACTTTTCAAGTCTTACTAAACGAACCTTCAATATAGTATCAGTGTTTAGAGTTTTAAATTCATTGAGTTTTGTGTTTCGAGTGTCCATTTTGAGATTGTTGAAAATGTATTCTTTTTGACATTTTGAAAAATTGTTTTGAAAACACTCAAAACGCGTTTTGAAAATTTTAGTTTGATTATAACTGAAAACACCAAAAACGTCAAATTTGTCGTTTTGAATTTTTTTGTAAATTTTTAATTTGTTTTCAAAAACGTGTTTTCGAAAATCGGAAAGAGTGCGTTTTCACTGTTTTAGAAAATCGAAAACATAAAATAGCTTGAAAATGATAAAGAAAACATACACTTAATATTTTTTTTTCAGTACGTGCTGTTTCAAAGAATTGTAACCTAAAGAATGCCCCCCCAAATAAAAAGTTTTGGCTCCGCCACTACTCCCCAATCCACCCACGGGAGCCTCCCTCTCTCCACCCGCTCATCTCCCTTTTCCTCCACCATTCAGCCCCTTCCCTGACTATTTGGTGACATCTTTATAAATTCTGAAAAGAAAATAAAAATATTCCTTCGGTCTATGATACATAAATGGGAGAAAATTCGGATCAAATCCGTATTTTTCTTAATTTTAGGTTCATTTACTTCAATGAACAGGAATTGTTTGAGCCCCATTTTTTGGGTCTTGAAAAATGATGTGTTAAAAAGTATAAAAAAAATTTAAGTTAACGTATAAATTATTTTATTGGAAGAATCTATAATTGAAAATAAATTATCTTAAGAAATGAGGCTCAAACCGGACTTGGGATTTCACTCTCCATTTTTCAAATAAATCCACAGATATATCTTGACAATAATACAAAATTGAAATACACAGATAAAGCTAAATAAATAAATAAATTGTACTATGTATATCAGTATAGTTTTATTTACGATCAGTGTCCTTTTCATGCAACTGCATTCTGGTCTCTTTATAGCAATTTAAAATAAATTAAAACTAATCCAATAATCTTTCTATTTTTTGCTATTTAGCTTATTTTATATTTATTTAATTTAATAAAAAGTAGTGAACTTCTAAACAACAATTAACTTTTTAATCCAGACACCACCACCACAACAGTTGTAGGCCGACATAAATAAGTTAAGAACGAAATTATCGAAAAGTGATGGTAAAAAAATTTGCCTCCTGAATATTTGTACTTTTCCATTCAATTGCATAAATTTGCTCCGATGACTAATATAACATTCATATTGTAATAACTTTCACTGAAACATAAAGCAGTTGATCTTATCAGATAGCCCTTCGAGCAACCAACCAAACCAGACATATAAATGAAAGTTATGGCTGAATGGCTCAAGGCATTGGGGATGTTCGTATAGTCTCATTTGAACACTATAATAAGCTCATGTTTTGTAGGGATTAAATTTTAAATTTTAATCAAAATCAACAATAAATTTTAACCACATATTTCATAGAATACACAATGTTTCAACAATATATTTCATTAAATTTTATCAAAATCTACTAAAAATCTTACCCTTATTTGGTACATATTATTTCTAAAATATATTTTTTTCTATCTTATTTTCAACAACACATTCTTCAATAAAATAATATTACACGCAAATTAAAAAAAATTCTTTTTTTTTAACCACAATCTCTATCAAATCACTATTTCAATATGTATTTTGGGCAAAAAATGGGACTCAAATAAGCTCCTGATTTTAAGCCCCACCAAACAAAGGCTAAATAACTGCTAGTTTCGTTTTCTTTCTTAATATTAACCATAACACATATAATAATTCAATTTCGTTTCTTTAGCCCCTATTTGGCTCCCATTATTTGAAATTATAATGTTTGGAATAGTGTTTTTTTAAGAATGTATAGTTGAAAAATAAGAAAAAATTTTGATTTACAATAATATTATTTTATGGAAGATTGTGTGATTAAAAATAAAAGAGAATAATAATTTTTTTGGATAAGGGGCTTAATATTAGCTAGTACCTTCTGTCTGTCTGACATAACTTGCCAAAGGCGCCACAAACAAGCTAAACCAAAACCAATTGTTCTACCAACTTGTCATTCCAATTAACATAAACAGAAAACCAACATAGAATGTGTACTTGAGAAGGCTACAAATGCCACAATTTACCTTGTGTAAAGCGAGAATTAAGTATACCAACAGATTTTACATTAACAAGAAATGATCTCATTGCATTTGTTTTGATGAGAAAAAGAGATGGTCAAAATGCTTCCAAGTGAAATGAAAATTTCTTCCCTTGCTAATCCCGGGTTTAGTGATCCTCGATCTTTTTCAAACCTTTCATGTCCGTAGTTTCCACCCTGTAGGTGGAAGCACAACATAACAAAAATAATCCACCATGAAATATTAAATACCTAATAACACAACACAATTACGCATTTAAGAAGATTATTCTTACACACAATGAAGCACGACATAACTAATATGTTTGGGCTCCATTTTTCCAAAATTCATTTTCAATCACATTTTTCAATAAAATAATATTACACGTAAATTCAAAACTTTTTCTTATTTTTTAACCACATATTCTCAAAAAAATCACTATTCCAAAATATATTTTCCCCAAAAAAAGTCATTTTAATGGAGCCCAAACGAGAGCTAAATCTAGGTGAAAATCCTTAATTTTGTATGCGTAAATCTAGAACGAAAAAAAAAAGTTACCTAAGATCACATAGAATGGGAAATACGATTCTGAGTGTTTGTGGTTGATGGTCCTTGGATAGTAAAAAGTGGAAAAGGGGGGTCCACATAGCTAAACCCACACAAGTGTGGGATAAGACTTTTAGAGTTGAACTAGGTTGAAAGGTTGACTCATTAAACCAAATAACTGACCTGCTTTTAAACCACATGATAGACTAAATATTACAGGTTCTACAATAACTAATAACCAAATCATATGAGCCCCTGAATTCAAGCGAAACAGACCACACACCATCCACCAGCATCATCCATCATGTTGAATTATGAAATTTCAATCTTTTTACAAATCTCAAGGCATTATTTATTCCAATTTAAATCAATTAGCAATATCACTGAATGCCACCTACATAGCTTCCATCTCTGGTCATTTGAACAATCTTACTATTAGAATACAGTGATAAAAGAACAAAGTGAATCCAACAAGAAATATGACTTTCGGCTTAGCATGCTTATGTTCTGAAAGGAAAAAAGGATAGTGTTTGGGCCAGATTTTAATCTGATTTTAATCTAAGTCAAACAATCAATGTCAACCACATCTTTCATGGGTCCCACATCTTTTCAACCACACATTTCAAAAACTTCTATCACAATCCACTTAAAATCTGATTTTAATCTACACCAAACACCTTCATAGACTCTTGATGAAATTTTAGTAGCTCAGCAACATGTCAAATCCATTCATAAGATATTCCATTTAACACATTACCCAGAATTCGATCATCAAACAGAAACATGATTAAGCAAAGAGTACAAAATATAAATAAAAAAGGGAAAGAAAAGGAAAACGAGACACTTACGTTGTTCCACAGAGAACAATCTTTTGAACTTTAGTAATGTCAGAACCAGATTGATTATCCTCTATGAAAATTGTTAAACTGATTAAGAATAATTAGTTAGAAATTTCTTGAGCCTGAAACAATTACGATAGGATGAAAAAGGCAATGAGACAATGAACTTACCTGCGAACATTTTGAAACTTAACATACTTCAAGATAACTGGTTTTCCCTGCAGGGATGCTATACATTTAGCTTGATATTTTGGTGACAATTTTGACAATAACTACCGCACCCAGGCAAATCTCGTCTTACGCAGAAGAATAATGGTGAACTATATCAAGCACTGAAATTACCTTGAGATTATCCTCAGACAAAACAGCAATGTCACTAGGAGGGTAGTCATTAACATTGCTGCATATAATAACAATTCTCTTTAAATATCACAGGAAAACAAGCAGTTAACGGAGGCCCGTCCAACCGAAAATTAATAACTAAACTTCAACCATTACCTGAATCCCATATGCTCCTTGTTAGCAAAAAGTTTCACAGTTTTAGGACCTGGAAATTAACCAGCAAGCGGAATTTGAATCAAAACTTACAATTAATAGCTGAATAAATATCCAGAAACAAACTGAAATTAGAACAAGTAACAACAACCATTTGCAATGAAGATTGCAATAAAATCAAAGAGAACAGATTGTGTTCATCCCATCATGGGTTGAGTAAGCCGGGTATTGTGTGAGATAACGAGTATGCGTTGGGATGATATGGACAGAAATAAAAAGTCAGTTGATAGGAGAGAAATGTAGAAAACCATGAGATGGTTGTCATTATTTCTCTTCTACATATACTGCACAAGAAAAAAAAAGGATTGAAAACAAAAACACATTATTTCAATTCTGTACACAATTAATCAGTCACACAACAAGACATAGCTTGGAATAAAAGGATATAATTGGCATAAAAAGTAACATTTTTGAACACTATTAGGCCTATCCTTAACATACCATACCATCCCCTCCTGGCTATTATCTCCTCACTAGTTCAATAAGAGTACCAAACTTCCCTCCTTTCCTTCTATTCCATCCATTCCCCTCAATCCACAGTGCATGTTTGGCAAAGTTTAAATTATATTTAAGCAGGTCAAACATACTTTTTATCCACACATTCCGTAAGACCCACAACTATTACCCACTTATTATCCACACATTCCATAGGATGGACCACAACTTAAAATCATTGAAGATTTTAAATTAAGTACTCCCAAGCATGCTCTTAATGTAAGATTCAAGGGTGTTATAGACAACCTGAAACATGGTATGTGAATTAATATTTCAATAGCGCCATTGTACTGTAATATGGCAACAAATTTTCACATTATCTTGATGAGTTTACTCTTTCACCCCAAAGCGTGGGCACCTTAAGATATCAGATCAGTGTTTCATATGAAACCTATATCATATGTTATTTTGTTATATCTCAAATTGTAGATGTCCAGAGATTGTACACAGCTGCTAAGCTAGACTGAGCACGTAACTAGAGAGTCGTGAGCCTCTCGACTCACACAAGAATACATAAATAAGGGAACTTCCAGTATGAGAACTTGGATTTCATGACATTTTTTAACCTGTTGATTGACTATGACAGATCTCTCAGGTTCCCAAGTAACATTGCTATAACACATTATCACGAGATGCTATAAATCCGCTATAACCTATGCCTCAGCTAGACTAAGTCACAAAAAATACCCCTTGTTTGGATTAACTACTGCAGCAATACATCATGACATTTCTACACATAAAAATAACAATAATATTTTCATGACACAGAAAACGAATCTAATGATATTTTTTGTGATTCACATCAAATACATTATTTTGCATGCGTGTGCAAATCTAGGTGATGCCTTGATGGTGGAGATACCACATACGCCTTCCTTGAAGTTTCAAGTACGTGGACAGCCTAAAAATTTCAATCAACAGTTACCTTATATGCCATATCACCTAATTGAAGAAAATTGCAAGCATCTTTCCTTAGCAGTCCCCATCTTCCTGGTATTTATATGAGATAATATCTGCTGTTGCTTCACAGTCAGCTTCCGTCACATAGGATTTTGCAATTTCTCTCAGTTCTCTTTATCTGTTTAAGCCTACATACCCTTCAAACTAACAATTAAAGCTTATCAGCATTTGACAAATCCATAGTAGGTACCGTAACTCCATGTCTCGAACTGTTCTCTAAGTAAAATAGGCCAGTGGAAATATCAATGTTTTATCATACCCAGTTGCATAGCAGTCAAGATAAGGTACAGCGTCTCTTTATCTTGTAAATCACAGGATGAGGCATCAACTAATTTATAATTATATGAAGTACCAAATTGTCTTTGGAAGTACTTAGGAACTTAATCACAGTATTTAATAAATACATGAACTGTGCGTGATCCCCCAGTTTCCATACAATTAACCACCTACACTCCTTCATCTTGACAGCTTGCCACTGAGGACATTGGTATCATTTAATTGAGTCCTGAACATGCTAATCCTTTCCTTCTGACATTCATCCATCCAGTGAGGTCATTTTAGTAATCAATATGAAATAAAAGCTTCAAAACTATAAGTTCAACTTGCAAGGATTTCCTCGTGAGATCTGACAAAGTATGCTTGGTTTAAGTGACCTATACTTTTCACTTAACTGATGATGAGTCAAAGTCATGCCACTGTGGATCCATTCATTTACAGTAAACGCAAGTTTGGTTGTATCATGGGGCTTCCAAACTCTCTTCATGAGTATGCCTCCATATTTCGGATATGGTAGTCCTTTTCTGTGTTGATCCTTCCCTTGGCCAGACTTAGTCGTCCAGTTCACCTTGTTCCTGGTTGATCTGATGATCCCAGGGTTGGTCATTCACTGCGCAATCAGTCATGCCATGCTTGGGATGGTTGCTTCCAGCTGGGTAACTAGGACCCCCCTGGACTTGTCCATGTCAACTAATTTGAGGACATGCCATACATCACATTTGACCTCCAAAATTTTTATATGAAAGCACAAACACACACATGCAAACTATATTTTCCATACCCCAGTTGTCCACTTCAAATTGTTAGCTGTTAGGTCATTTTTAACTTTGGGAAGGAATAAGGGAGTGCCACTGTGATGGTGCTCTTTTCACCTATGGGAGATGAAAACAGGCTACAATCCAATATTCTATCCTCATCAAAGTGTTTCATCTATGTTGTCCAAAATGTAACACGTAAAAATATTAGAAATTCCTATTAATAACCATATCCTAGGTTCTGGAAAATTTCCCAGGAAAAAACCATATTGCTAGACATGGAGTTTAGCAGGGCTTTCTTCTTTGAGAGACACCACACAACAAATATAAAAAAAATTTTATGTTGTGCAATAAGGTTAACGTAACAAAAAGTTACTCCCTTGCTAAACTGCAAAAAACATAGGAGGCATTTGGTTTTGCAAAACACTCAAAATATAATTGGTTTGATATTTATGAAAATGCATTTTTGAAAACAAGGTTAAACTTATAGCACAAAAGAATCATTTTTTTACGTTTTGAGTTTTTTCAGTGAATTTTTTCAACTAAAATTTTAAAAATTAAAAATTCTACAAACCAAAAATATAAAATTCTAGAAAAATATAAAATTAAAAATTTGAAATTTAAAAAAATAATTTTTTTTGAAAAAAATAAAATTCTAGAAAAATAAAAATAGTTCAAGCTCTTATTGGTTATTTAAATAAAAGCTCTAAAAAATATATTTTCTCAGTCCACGTCATAAATTTTTATTTTTTATTTTCTATGTTTATCCAATTTAACTTATTATTTGTTTTCATTTTTCTTATAGAGAAAAATCTTGTAATATTCACAAACTATAACATGTATATATTACTTGATTATATATTAAGACAAATTGATTTATTTTACTGACTAATCAAATGTCACGGAATAAAATGTCATAAGACAATTTCTCAAAATTCCAAACTAAACGCGTTTTTTAGTTTCTTTTTTCAAAAATAATTTTTCAAAATAACAAACAAAGCGTGTTTTCAACAATCTTAAAACATATCCTCAAAATAGAAAACTAAAAATGAACTCAAAACTGAAAATTGAAACACAAACCAAATGGTTATTGTCCTATATAAATATGTGGGCACATTTTTAGTACTATATAAGAGTGATTGTCTCCTATGGTACTTCGGCACATGATCTCTGATGAAAACAATGTATTAAAGAAAATGCCAAAAGAGTGTGAGATTGAAGTGCTACACCAATTCAAGGTCACCTCTAAAATCCTTTGTCACTTGGTTTGGTTTTAGACGTGGAGATTAGCCAGGAAAGGTTTCCACACCTCATTCCCCTACATATAACATATGAGTTCGTGTCGACAGTTAAGATGTGAGTAGGGTAAGTGTGGGCATCCACAAGGCATAGGTACGGAGTGACGGGGTTTGGTGGTGTGGGTGGGCTAAGATGATTGTTTTTCTGAGCCACATAATATGCCCTTCAAACAATTTCTCACACGTGAGACACGTGATCAATTAACAGATTTCTTGGACGAAAATCCATCAATAGGGACTCAGATGCGACAGAAGTTAAAATTGAACCTAAATGCCAAGAATAATTGAACGGAGACCCAATGCTCTTTGAACATAGAATGGCAAATGCAGGTGCAAACTTCCCTAAATATTAGTAGTTAACTGTTTATGTTATATGATAGAACTGTTACCTTAGTTAACAATTATAATGCCAAATATATTTCAAACAGAAATTCACTCAATAAATATCATAAAAGAAATCCAGAAGGTGATTGGAGTGTAGCTATCGTAATGCATGTTCAGGTAATATATTAGCAGTACAAAAAGCAGAAATCTAGAAATAAAGCAGTTACCTTCCTCCTCAGGCCCTTTAATGACAATAGAGTGCAGTTTAATAACTTGAGTAAAAGGAATGTAAATCAACAGCTGCTCATCAGCGTCGCTCTCCAAATTCAACTCCTCGTCTTCTCTATAATCCTGATCCAAAAACAAAAGGAATGAACTAAAAGATGATAATGCAAGTAGATCCAAACCCCACCTACTTCTCAAAAGGAAATGGTCAAAGAAATAGAAATGGACAATTAAAAAAAATAGAGTGAGGACATAAGAGTAATGTTAATTTCCGGACATAATGATAACAAGATCCAAGGAAAAAAGTAAAACCCTAATAAAAGAAGCAAAAAGCTTATGTTTAATTAATGAATAGGGAATAGAAATCCAATTAGGAAATCCCCTCTTGGAGGGATATAGAACCTCTCAATTCAATACATCCATCTTGCGACTCAAGTTTCCCCTTCATCCCTTTATTATCTGCTTTACAAGGTAAGACTGATCTTGAATCTCATGTACAATGTTGAGATCTGATAGGCCTCAAAAGAACTGAATAGTTTCATTTAGTTAGTTAAAGTAGATTGCATAGAATATTAATAGGGGAGGGTAGTTTCAATTCATTTAGGCAGAAATTAGGTATGGTTTGGGGGAGATAATTGAGCCTCTTGAAGGCTCGTCAAACTTGTAATTCCTTTCGAGTATATTCGGTAATAAAAGTTCAAATTTAGTTCTGTTCCGCTGTTTGTTTCATTGTCTGCATTCGTAAGTAATGATCCTTGGATGACTACAATCAAATCTTGTCCCTAAACTCTTACAACATATCATTTTCAAAAAATTAAATTCCAATCCTTTCAGATCCCATCAACAATTAGATGTAGAAGAATACAGCAACTGCTCGCCAAATTAACATGAGAATTATAGCAAATCTGACATTTAAATGAGGATAACAATAGCATAAAACAAAATAAAGATCTAAAAGCACATTTAGGAGTTTTTAATAGACGATTTAAATTATAAATAGAAATGAGTGATCGATAAGCGAGTAGTACTTATGAGTCTATGAAATACGTGGATAAAAAGTAGATAGACAATTTGATAAACAGATAATATACAGTAGCCAAACATGGGTTAAATATGAAACGCAATTCAGAGCTCATGAGAAGATCATGCCACACAACGTGATGTTTATTAATGTCCTATCTTATCCACATTGCATTGTTCCAATCATTCCCCCAGTGTTCAGGAAAAAAGTAAAAAAGATTGTGGTGTAGTATAAGCGTAACCTACACCTGGTTTGGCAACAGCCGATGTCGCGTTTAAAATTTTAATTAGTCCAAATTTCGGACAAATCTAGTTAGTTTTGGGCACCAATCTACATCAGGTTATTTTCAGTCTTGCTTATCTGACACTAAAATCAAGGATTAAAATAATTTATAACAACCCAATGAATTAAACCAAACTTTAAACTGGCCTGACACTTACGAGTATTAAGAACATGCATTTTACTAGGATATCTATTTCTTTTATTTATATATTTTACACGTAATGCTAAAAAGTTCTTATGACACCGCATTGTTAGATAGATTCTCAAACAAAAAGCAGGCGCGCTGCAAGAACCCAGAATTTTGGAGTATTCTATTCTATTCTACGCCCCGATTTTGTCTATGAATAAATTTCAAAACCCTTAATTACAGAAACATAAAAGAAGCATCCTATTCTTAAATAAAATAACCAGTGAAAAAACCCTAATTGTGACAAGAATTAAATAATTTCAATTATTAAAAAGTACCTGTTTGAGAGCATTCGGAAGAGAGTGACTGCTATTTTGATTTAAACATTCCACGCCCGACCAGTTCACAAAGTCCAGTAGATCAACCTACACACACACACATATCGTCAAATTTATGAGTATAATAATAGTCAAAAACGGGAAGAACTTGAAATCTATTGGGAGCAATAACGAATGAATATTTTCACCTGATTCCTTTGGATGACAGAGGCTGATTCGGCCGACATGACTGATGACAGAGAGGAGGAAAGGGACAAGATCTAAGGGGCAATACGTTTAATAAAATTGCAAGGAATCGCCAAAAGTGCGAGGTAAGATTGATCTCCTTTCAAATGTTCGAGAGCCTCTTTGGAGTGAAAAACAATTTTGGTCCTCTAACTTTTGGAAAATTTTCATTTTGGCCATCTAGCTTGATTTTATTCAAGTTTGTTGTTGAAGTTCTCTTTTCATTGTCATTTTGATACATAAAATGGGTAATTGATATTTACATAAAACATCCATATCATTTGCTTTCATTGTGCAATCATCTCCATCATTTCACTTTTAACATTTGAGCCCTCAAATAGACCACTCTTTGAGCGAATCACCCATAATGTCTCATTTCATCCATTTGCTCCATCAAATGATCACGTGCAGTCCATTCATATGATTTGGTAAGGGCATTATGATCAAGACACTAAGCCCCTGTTTGAATCTCGTTTTTTTCTCATTTTTTGTCAAAACTCGTTTTGCTACAGGAAAAAAATATGACACGCAACCCACCTACTCATTTTGTGTCAGATGGCCCATGTAATATTTTATTACCTTTGCCTCACAATTCCCCTTTTTGTCCTCATTTGAAATTGTGTACAAATTTGTACAGGAACCAATTTGAAGGGTATTTATGGAAGGAAAGATAATTTATACTGCAATGGGTCAAATCTGTCCTTTTCTTCCTGCTGTTGTCGGCTGAAATTGTAAGGGATTTGTACATGGGCCCCACGCATACTGCAAATTACTGTTAAAAAATGAAAAAAAAAAACAGGTGCCAAACAAGCTGTAAATTAAATTTCAGAGGACGTGTTTGTTTTGAACGAAGTTGGTAGAAGAAGAGTCTTATCATCAAGAATCCAAGAAGGTGAACAAAAAATCCCAATTGCTCCTCCTTTAAAAAATCAAAGATAAGACATTACATGGTGCTACGCTTCGGATTACACTTCTAGCCAAGTTCCAGGTGTCCAATAATTTTAATTCTTCATCAAATTTGTTGGCTTCTTGCTGCGGGTTTGTTGAGGAAAACGAAGATTTTTGTATCCACTTTTACTTACGAGAATCTTGATAATTTTCTACGGTATGGCTACTACACAATCATTAAAATGAAACATTTGCTCCAAGACTTAGATTGCACGGCAAGGAGGCTCCCAATTATGGTAAGTTCGGTACTTTACTTACCTAGTACACAATGCTAAAGTGGTGATTGAAGTGTATTAGCTAGAAATTAACTTATATGATATATTTGTTTTCAACATTGATTTCGAGGATAGGGCATTTTAATTTACATGTGTACAAGAATCAGTTTTGTCATCTATTTCCATGTACATACAGCTGCATATACAAAATATTTCACTCTGAAAGTCCATTGTGGAGGCAAATTATTTGATTAGTCAAACAATGTGTTATATGAGCATGGTGGTGTCGTGTTCTTGGAATGTTAAGTCTTCATGCTTCACAAGAAATATGTTACTATCGAAAGCAAAATAATTTTCGTTAAGAAATAACATTATTCATGATGACAACATATCTCAGCTCAAATCCACTCTATTACCTACACTCAATCGATAGATAGGAGAAATTCCATCTTGATCAAGTTGACATCAACCTGAAGTAAATTTTAAATAAAAAAGTAACATTTTTTAGTTCACGACTCCAAATAAGATCGTTTTTGGAAGTTTTAAATTGGTTGGATCGAACTGAACCACATGCACTCATATGTGAGCAGTGGCGGAGCTAGCACCGGGCGAGCTCCGACGCGACGACCGCCCATGCTGGCTCCATCGGTGTTAGCTTTTTTTGTCATTTTTCTTTAAAAATAAAAAAGAAATAGGAGAAATTTGAGGAAAAGAAACAACAGGTGATACCATCTACTATTTGAGGATAAATTAGCAATAATTTTAAGGGGCTTAAATTTGGATGTGAGGAAGCCGAAAAGTTATACGTCGTACGTGTAAAAAAAAATTAATTTTAACTTCAAATAAACTAATAAAGTACATTATTGTCTCTGTCTTGGCACTCGCGGCCCCAAAAGTGCCTCTAGAAATCATAAACAGTCACTTTGTAGCGTGTAACTCATGAATTACATCAAGCTCTTAGGTAACATAAAAAGAGGAGAAAAAATAAGGAAAAAATCGGGCAGTATCAAGGGAGATTTTCGTAAATGGCTGGCCAACTTAGAGGTTTTAAGTTTTTTGTTAAAAAGTCAATTTTATCCGTAATGAAATGAGTTTTTATTGTAAAATATGTCCTCGAGTTTTAGAAACTAGTTTTATTTTATATTTTAACTATTTTTATTCGTTTTCACTAGATATTTCTTCTTCAAAAAAATTTTCATCAATTTCTATTTCTTCAGAGTTAACTTCTTCACATTCATCTCTACTTTGATCAAAATCTGTAATTAATATCATAACTTTCTTTTTTTGGACATTCGGTACTTATACGTGCTTCTTCATTACAATTCCAACATTTACATCGTTTTTTATCTAATGATTTTTTATTATAAGGTTTATATTTTCTTCTAAAATATTTTCTTTTTGGTTTAAAATATTTCTTTTTAAACTTATTATATTTTTTATATTTCTTGGGTTTTATTTTTCTTTTTCTTTTATAATCATAACATCCCCAATTTNTTTTTTTTATTTTTTTTGTTTAAAAAAAAATTTTATTTTTTTTTTTTTTTTTTTTTTTACATATTAGCCAAACTTATAGTTCGATCCTAAATTCGTTCTCATGTATACGCATGTAAGCGCATACCATCTTCGCTATCGGCTTGTTCTTGATGTTGATTCTCGTGTGAATTACTGGCGTTCTCTTCCTCAAGCGGTGGTGGTAGCTATGGAGTGGTCTTGAGTGAGCGCTTCTGGGTAGGCATTGATTGGGCGAGCTGACGGGGGGCTACGGTGGTTGTGGGTGGCGGAGTCAACTACGAGTGGAGGTAATTTGAGTGTGGCTTTTTCTTCTGTCTATATGTATGTGTATACTAGTTGTGTGTATATATAGATGCATATATCAATGTCTATCTTGTCTCCATTTTTTATGTTATGATTTTCTCCAATTTTAACTGGAGTGGGAGGTTGAGTATGCAGAAACTGAAATCATATGACCAAATAAAAAAGAAATTGGAGAAATTTGAGGAAAAGAAACAACAGGTGATACCATCTACTATTTGAGGATAAATTAGCAATAATTTTTAGGGGCTTAAATTTGGATGTGAGGAAGCCGAAAAGGTATACGTAGTACGTGTAAAAAAAATTAATTTTAACTTCAAATAAACTAATAAAGTACATTATCGTCTCTGTCTTGGCACTCGCGGCCCCAAAAGTGCCTCTAGAAATCATGAACAGTCACTTTGTAGCGTGTAACTCATGAATTACTTGAAGCTCTTAGGTAACATAAACAGAGGAGAAAAAATGAGGAAAAAATCGGGCAGTGAGATTTTCAAAGTTAACTTCTTCACATTCATCTCTAATTTGATCAAAATTTGTAATTAATATTATAACTTTCTTTTTTTGGACATTCGGTACTTATATGTCTTTCTTCATTACAATTCCAACATTTACATCGTTTTTTATCTAATGGTTTTTTATTATAAAGTTTATATTTTCTTCTAAAATATTTTCTTTTAGGTTTAAAATATTTCTTTTTAAAC